TTCTGTATGTCTGCTTCTGTCTCCTTGAACCTCATTTGACCTCAGCAGATGGCCACTCACTCTGAGCCCGGTTCTGCTGTAGGTTTATTCCTGTAAAAAGGGAGTGTTTCCTCTCCACTGTTGCTACAAGCTTTCTTAGTGTGAGGGTTTACCTTCGAGTCAGTGAGTTGATGCAATCAACTGCTTTTCCTTAGATTGGAAACTTTGAATCAATTGACTGGATGATCTGGTTGATATGTCTCTGTAAAGTGCCTTGAGATAACATTTGTTGTGAATTGGCGCTATATAATTAAACTGAATTTGACTGCATTGAATTTAGTTGAGCTCTGGACAGAGAATGGATGACATATAAATATACAGGATCAAACTAGGTTATTTATTGAAACTTTCAAGTATAGACCTTTAATTTTGTCCAACACAGTAATGTCTGTTTTAAGAATGTCAGGCTTGGAACAAGAAGACCAAATATTTGAGCTAGAAAGACAGTAAGAGTCAACAACATTTTTAAAGAGGACAGCAACAGCGTCCAAGGTTGGAACCTCTGCAGGAGGAGAACACAGGTTAGTGACCATGTCTGTGTATGAACATGTGAGTCACTAACCTGGTCTTAAAGTTCAGTCCAGGCCCAGAGGACGAGGTTTGTTCCAGCGGGTTGGCTGCCAACAAGACGCGGTGGGCGCCGCCCAGAGAGTCCCAGATGCTGAAGTCCCAGAGGTCGAAGGAGAGACAGGAGATTAGAACGGAGCAGAAGAAGGAGGCAGGATAATCCAGGCGAAGCCAAAGCTGGTGTCGAAGACTTGCTCAGGAGTCAGGACCAGGAGATCAGAGATCCTAAGAGGTACAGAATGGAAATCCAGAACGGTGCCAGGAATCAGTTGCAGTTAGGTCCGCAGACAGGCAGATATCCAGCAGTACTCTGAGGACAGGTCATTCATACAGATCAGAATGGGGACAGGCAGGCTCAGAGGTCCAGAGCCAGAACAGGTCAGGCAGTCAGAAAACACAGGTACGCTGGAGAACTCTCCCCAAAGGCTTGAATAATCTAGTACAAATGACTGGTTGAAGGCGGGTTAAATAGAGGTTGAAGCAGGTGAATAAGTTGAACGGTAATGAGAACTAGGCGGAGTCCTTGTTTTCACAATATGATATTGCTCTGCCCTCACTTGCAAGGAGTTTGTACAAAAGCCACTTCATTTTCATTATTATAACTACTTTACCTTTCATTTATAGTTAAAGAGTACTGGTAAGCTTAATCTGCTTAAGAGTTATAAGGCTATTTATTTATTTTGGACAAAATTGTATTTTTAGAAGAATCTTCAGCATACTGTACTTGTTCAGCTGTTCCCCAATTTTGACCAAATATGAGATGAAATATTCCTGTAGTCTTTAGTGGACTAGGAACACTGGCCAGTGGCTAAAATGTTCGACTCATAAATAAATGATACATTGCAACAATATGAGGTCTTAATTATAATGGAAGGGCAGAAATAAATATCTGGAAATTCATAAATTCATGTTTTGTTTTTCTTATAAATAATGATGCCATAAACACGGTTGTAAAACTTTACATTTATTTTATGTGTCAGAAGTTTGACTCACCTGGGGCAAATCTGTAAGGACATTTAAGCCAAAGCAAAAGTGCATCAGCGGTCACCATGATAAGTGCTATCTAAATAAGAAGGATGATGAACAGGAAACAGGATGCTTCTAGAGGAAGAGGGAGGGATTACTGAAGAGCCAATGACAAAATACAAGTGAAAATCTTTGCTGCAAGCTCATCCAGGCGCATGTCCAGCAAGTCATTGACACGATGCCATCAACAGATTTTCCTTGATAGAAACTTTTAACCAATATGACTGTGTTGTCTCTGTAAAAGACACTTGACATGACACGTGTGGTAAAATGACTGTCTGCTTCCATCAAACTGCAACCCTCCACACCCTCTCCACCATCAACCTCGTTTTCATATGGTGTCCTTCCAACTTCAAACTCCATTCCACCTTTGTGGCGTCAGCGGGAAGAGAGGTACTTATCCTAATTCATTTGCTCAAGCAACATCATAACTTTTTATAACCATGTCTTCCATCAGGGCTTGAGCGCCAAAGGCTACATTTCTCATGTCCATAAAACTCCCTAATTCCTGCTTGTCTTCTGTTTGAGTCTCTTCAGGTTGAAATGCAAGTATTTACACCTTGATATGCTTTTGGCTTTATAATGGAGAGCTTCAGCTCTTTGCTGCTGTTTTGTAACTCTGTTTTTTGTAGTTAATTTTTGGAAGGCTGTTTTTTATACAGGTGCTGGTCATAAAATTAGAATATCATGAAAAAGTAGATTGATTTCAGTAATTCCATTTAAGAAGTGAAACTTGTATATTATATTCATACATTACATACAAACTCATATATTTCAGATGTTTATTTTGTTTAATTTTGATGATTACAAATGACAACAAATGAAAATCTCAAATTCATCATATCAGAAAATTAGAATATTACTGAAGACCAATAAAAACAAAGGATTTATAGAAATTTTGGCCAACTGAAAAGTATGAACATGAAAAGTATGAGCATGTACAGCACTCAGTATTTAGTTGGGCCTCCTTTGGCCTGTATTACTGCAGCAATGCGGCGTGGCATGGAGTCGATCAGTCTGTGGCACTGCTCAGGTGTTATGATAGCCCAGGTTGCTCTAATAGTGGCTTTTAGCTCTTCTGAATTGTTGGGTCTGGTGTATTGCATCTTCTTCTTCACAATACCCCATAGATTTTCTATGGGGTTAAGGTCAGGAGAGTTTGCTGGCCAATTAAGAACAGGGATACCATGGTCCTTCAACCAGGTACTGGTAGCTTTGGCAATGTGTGCAGGTGCCAAGTCCTGTTGGAAAATGAAATCTGCATCTCCAAAAAGTTGGTCAGCTGCAGGAAGCATGAAGTGCTCTAAAACTTCCTGGTATGTGGCTGCGTTGACCCTGGACCTCAGAAAACACAATGGACCAACACCAGCAGATGACATGGCACCCCAAACCATCACTGACTGTGGAAACTTTACACTGGACTTCAAGCAACGTGGATGAAGTGCCTCTCTTCTTTTCCTCCAGACTCTGGGACCTTGATTTCCAAAGGAAATGCAAAATGTACTTTCATCAGAGAACATGACTTTGGACCACTCACCAGCAGTCCAGTCCTGTTTCTCTTTAGCCCAGGCAAGACGCTTCTGACGCTGTCTGTGGTTCAAGAGTGGCTTGACACAAGGAATGCGACAGCAGAAACCCATGTCTTTCATACGTCTGTGTGTGGTGGTTCTTGAAGCACTCACTCCAGCTGCAGTCCACTCTTTGTGAATCTCCCCCACATTTTTGAATGGGTTTTGTTTCACAATCCTCTCCAGGGTGTGGTTATCTCTCTTGCTTGTACACTTTTTTCGACCACATCTTTTCCTTCCCTTCGCCTCTCTATTAATGTGCTTGGACACTGAGCTCTGTGAACAGCCAGCCTCTTTAGCGATGACCTTTTGTGTCTTGCCCTCCTTGTGCAAGGTGTCGATGGTCGTCTTTTGGACAACTGTCAAGTCAGCAGTCTTCCCCATGATTGTGTAGCCTATAGAACTAGACTGAAAGACCATTTAAAGGCTTTTGCAGGTGGTTTGAGTTAATTAGCTGATTAGAGTGTGGCACCAGGGGCCATCAATTTTGAACCTTTTCACAATATTCTAATTTTCTGATATGATGAATTTGAGATTTTCATTTGTTGTCATTTGTAATCATCAAAATTAAACAAAATAAACATCTGAAATATATGAGTTTGTATGTAATGTATGAATATAATATACAAGTTTCACTTTTTAAATGGAATTACTGAAATCAATCTACTTTTTCATGATATTCTAATTTTATGACCAGCACCTGTAGCATCATCCGTTCCTGTTCCCTAATGATGTCCTTAAGGCTGAAGGCTGTCTGGATTGAGCACAGCAGTCCAAATTTCTTTTCCTACCCAGGATGCTGTTCTTACTGTCGACCCTGTGAAAGCTGAAGGTATAGGAGCTAGAAACAGGAGGTAGGAGCTACGATTTGCCCATTCAGAATCAGCCATGCGCACTAGCTCTGCAGAGTCCTGACAATGCCCTTATTGTGTGATTCAGCTGTTTCATGTCCAACATGCAGGATACCAGCCCTCCATGATGATAGTTTGAAAGCTGTTGGGTAATTATTTATACTTTGTTAAGCTATAATTTACCCAGTAAAGTCTGGGGTGTGCTTTTGTCTCTCTTTTGCCTTAGTTTACCTTTTTTTTTTTTTTAAATAATAGATTCGATGATTGATTTTAGTATTTTCAGCTTTTAAAAATTATTTCAAAGTCTAAGTCTGAAGCTTTCACTTCATTTACAAACACATTGTTTTTTAAATAAAGACTATATTGATGCTTATATTTGTGTGTTTAATCTTCCAAGGATTCAAAGTATCAAGCCACAGGTTTTTAAATGCACCCATACCTATGAACAGCTTATTTTTATGTGCATCAATCACTGACTTTCTAACTAAAAAGAAACTGCAAATTTCTCACTGAGAGTCTCTGACATGTGTTTCCCCACATAGACAAGTGCGGTCCTGCTCAGCTGGGCCGTAGCTGCCTGTCACCCCACCGGAGCTCCAGCGCCTGGCTCCTTTGATGTGCTGAGGGCCCCCCACATGGAGAAAGCGGTTCTGTAGGCTCATAAGCAGACAGAGCCTGCAGGGCAGGAGGGGAGGGGAGGGGCTGTCCCGATGAAAGACAGTGGTGTGGCACTCCAGCTGTTTGGCCTTTTTTTTACCCAACATTAAGCAACTGAAGATTCAATATTTGGTGTTTTGTGTCTGTTTCAGCCAGACTCTATGAAAACTTCAAACATGAAATGGAATGCCTTACATTTCACCGTTTTTTTGTAACTGATGATTTTTGACTTTTCCAAGGCTGTTGAGGACACTTTTGACATATATCCTCAATTGAAAAATAAAATATAAATGAAACTTCCAAGTTTTTAACCAATATCAACTGGAAGTTAAAAGAGAGAAAGATGAGAGTGGAAGTGGGTGGTCTTGATTAAGAAGTATGTTTAAGGCTTTCTAGAAAATCTTCTCAAACATCTAGGTGATTCATATACTTCAGGCAAAGACTTTAATTCATCTTAGGTTAACTTAGAAGATGATTGTTAATATTAGAATGAAGAGCAGGATCAAACAGTGAACAAATGCAAAATGTTTGCCAAAGAAATTCTAACCGTAAGAATGCAGTTATGACAGAGAGCTCCCTACTGCCTTTTAGTCTTCATTATCGCCATACCTTAATGCTAAACATGTGATTTACCGCTCAGAGTTCTAACTCTAAGAATGAAGGGCAAATTCCTGAATGCAATCAGTGAACCATTAGAAACAGCAGGGGATAAGGAGAACTGAAGACAGGAAGGACATACTGTAGCTTTGATAAAGGCAGAGGAAAAAAAGATGAAAACAGAGAAAGTAGGAGACAAAAATATTTCAAGATTTTAAAACATTTATAAGCAAGACATGCAAAAGAGCTCTTAGCAGTTCGTCAAGCCGGATGTCTGTAATCATCTGCTCAGGTCTTAAAATGGCGAGAGTAAATATTTAAAAGCAGTGAGAGCAAATGACAGTGGATGATGTGTAAATAAATCTGTTAGCTGACATGTTTTCCATATGAGTAAACGACCTGTTTATACAGCACCTTGTGAAATAGTTGCAATCTCTAACCTCACGGGTTCTGCTACAAGGTTGCTTTTATTTCTTCAAAACAAGGGTGTTGAGTTTTTGCAGTTTTGGACATCTGTTTTGTGTAAGTATCATTAAACAACATTAAAAACAATCTCACGTCATTTGCTTTGAAACATCCTCTGTTTGACTGGCAGTTAGAGTTGTTTCCAGTTGTTTTTTTACTCTTTTGGAGCTTAAAATCAAGTTGTGATATTATCATGATTTTTTTTCCCTAAATGCAGAACTCTGGGATACATTTATTTTTGTAATTTCTCACCATTTTAGCTTCGCCTTTGCCTAAAAAGTTTAGAAAAGTGTTCCTGGTAAAAACTATACCCTTTAGTGCTTCAAGCACTTAAATGTAGAGATACACTTTCTCTTTTACCATTACTGTATTTAAAACTGCTAATAATTAAATTCTCTTCAGTTTATTTCTGTAGTGCCAATTCACAACATATGTCTTCTCAAGGCACTTTACAGAGACAACTGAACCAGATCTTAAAGTCAAATTGATTCAAAGTTTTCTATCCAAGGAAAACCAGTTGATTACATCGACTCATTGACTTGAAGGCAGTCCCTCATGCAAAGCATACTTGTAGCGACAGTGGAGAGGAAAAACTCCCCTTTAATAGGAAGAACCCTAACACAATTTGGGAGCTCTTGAGGCACTTTGTTGTTACTGCAACCTCTAAAAACACTTACCGGTAGCTTGCAAAAATAGAATTAAGAAATCACTCAACCTAATGTCTGGTAAGATCACCAAGGTAGGAAAAAAATTACTAAATTTTATGGAAAACTTGAGTAAGCTGGATAGCATGTTCAGAGAAAACAATGCTAAAATCAGGATGCAAGAAAAAAGAATGAATGATCTGGAGCAATATAGCAAATGATAAAATCATTAAAAGGACTGGAAACCGAACAGCATATTTAGGCAAAAGTTGTACCTACTAATAGAGAGTAGGAAGAGGATGAACAACATGAAGAACTAGATGCACTAGAACAGCAGACTTCTTGAAAGCAAACATATGGCCATCCGGCATAGTTACACTGAACTCTGTCACATCCTTCCTACAAAGGATAAGAGCGCAAAACCAGCTTGAACTGTTTGTTTGTGGAACAGAAAGCAAATACTTGAGATGAGTTGACTCCAAAAGATAGTGAAATTGCTGAACAACCAAAATAATATTAAATACCTCAAATATTTGGACCGTTACAAATATATGGCAGATGAAATGGTGCTTAAACCACTAAAAGCTGTAAAGGAAAATAAAATAAAAATTGACCAGATTCAGGGTTCAATTCAATTTCATAATGATTCAGGGCTACATCAAAGAATAATCTACTACAAATTTGGAGCCAAAATCAATTGACTTCACCGAGCGAAATATAATGGACTATACTGCTGTCCAGCCGTGCTCTCATCCACCTGACTGCTTTGTCAAGTCTCTGGCATCACTTATGCATTAACAAGAGAATAAGATGACTGTTTTTTAAGATGGCTCATAAAAGATCAGGCATAAGTGAACCTCAAACCCATTCAGAGTTTTTGCACATGAATATGAAATTAAAACTTTTGTCTCATGCAACGAAAAGGACCCAAATGGAGTCAGTTTGGAGATTAAGACAGAATAAATATAATACTTTACATCAGACATAGTAAATATAATTTAAAGAAGGCCAGATTAGCCCTGGTAATAAAAGGGGATCTGTATTTGACCTTCATTTTGCAGAAGATAAGATGCTCCCTTCAAAATAACTAGTTAGAATTTTCTCACCTAAAATGGAATTACGCCTCTAAAACAGACCTTTGCAGTACCAGACAGGCTTTCCTTCTTCCACCAGGCATGTGCAGATCACTAGTGTAATTTCAGTAAGTTGCCAGAGGAGTCAAACATCTGCAAAAACTCAGGAACTTGTGCTATTCTCCTTTAATGTTCACCATCACCAGCCCCCAACATACGCCTACTAAATCTGAACACCAAGCCAGAATCAAGTGTTGATGGGTCATAAACACCAGCAGTCATAGAGGACAGCACTTAACTTCATCCATCTTTGCGTTAATCGCAAGCAAAACTTTAATTCTTGCAACAGTTTTCCCTCAAAAGGCTAAATTATATTATATTTTTTCCACAGAATGATAAAAATCAATTTTCAATGATCTAATGAATTGTCTGGACTCAGTCAAACTCACCCACTGATACAACAGAAATAATTAGGCAAATAGTACTACCTATGATTTAAACAATGAAACCTTTATATGTGCCTCAGTTAAAATAAATTATTCTTTCAGTAATAACCTATAATAAAACTTTACCGCATAGCAATTCAGCAGAAAAGAAAACCATACCAGAAATATCAAGAAAAAAAGTATGTGTAAAACTAACAGATTTTGTGCCATTTAAAATGTTTCAGACAACAGTTTTGAAAGAATTGATGAATAATCAATAAGGAAATAAAATAATTGTTGTTACTGGCATGATATGACAACCGCCACATCTCAAAAACCTTATGGCAACAAGGTTTAGTGTTATATTTTGATGACTGCATTCAAGAGAATAAAATGTCAAGAACCAGAAAAAAAAAAACACACAGAGGTTAACAAAATGTAACAGACCCCAAATCAACTCCAAGTCTGTGGTTTAAGGAGAGTTTAAAATTTTTTTAAAGCAGTCAATTCTTGTTGACACAAGAGCTCAACAGAGATCTGAGACAGGACACAGAGAACAACCAGCTGTGCAGCCTGATGGCTGTGGAGTTACACACATACAGCTGCCCATGTGTGTGTACAGTGGCTTTAAAACTTATTCATAACCCTTGATTATTTCCATGTATTTTATGTCACAGGTAGAGACAAAAATATATTACTGGTTGATAGGGAACTGTCAAATACAAAGTGTTTTATAAATGTAAGTCTAAGGAAAATTTTCCTGGTTTTTAAAAAGTTTTTACAAATAAAGATCTGACAAATTGGCTTGCAATAGCAGCCCCACTATACACACACACACACAGGCACAATATAATGTGCTTAACCCCTGAATAGAGCATCTAAATAGTGAAGCATGGCAGTGGCAGCATCGTGCCACAGGGAGGCTTTTCTTTTCTTAGAGTGCATGTGAACATTAGTAGAATTATTCTGTAGAAAACCTGTTTGAGGCTGCAAAAGTTTTTAAATGGAGGGAAAATCAAGTTGAGTTCATGTATATTGCACTCACTCAACAACATGTAATATCTTACAGAATATGAGGTTGTTACTTTTTTGAGACATTTTTAAGGAGCCAAATTGTTATACTTGCCAGTTTTGAACCTTGCAAATGAAAGGGACTTACTTTGTGCCTTAAAAAAAAACAACTGTGTCATTGGAAATGACCTGGTGTGAAAATGAACCCTGGAAAGAGTGAGTGAAGCATGAGCCACTATGCCATGCCGCAGTATTTTCTTTCAAAGCTGTGGGATGTGTGTTTAATGGGAGGAGACATAGAAAAGCAAGCTGGTACATAATGACTGATTTTTGAAAATAGAGCAAAAACATTTCAGAAAACCTTACATTGTCCCAAAACCAACTGGGTAACAATCTTGGACATCTTCAGATTCTTCTTTTAATGAATGTACTGCTTAGTCCACATAGTCCAGGGTGCGGGTCAATTTTAATTCTGCAAGTGCATTTTTAAAATGTATAGGATATTAATGATCAAGCTACAGTGAGTCAATTTATGTCATAATAAATTGAAGATGATAAAAATGAGAAATTATTTAACCTGTAGTGAAACTATTTAACCTTTTATAGTGCAATGCCCAGCCACCTGTCAGGGCTATGCATAGCACTTTAAAAGGTTTCAACACATTCCTCACTGTTACAGCTGATAAGTGATAAAATTACGCTCTTGAGTGATCTTCCTCCTTGCAATAAGAGGTTAGTAATTATGGGCCAGAGCAATACCCAGCGCTCATAACATGAGATAATGTAAAATACTTTTAGGTGAGGGGAAAAGACGTCAAAACAGCATGTGGGGATAAGATACTGCAGAGATAGGTGCCGTGTGTCTGCTTTGCTAACAGACAACAGGTCATCCTGTCAGATAAGGTTTATTTTCATGGTGGTAACAAGGGAAGGCCAAGTGCAATAAGTGACCAGATTCTCCCAGCGTTCAGCACTGCTTCTCAAAGTGTTTGGCTTTATAACATCAACAATTTTCCACTTGCCTCCAAGTATCCATATCCCAACATCACCCCATCCTTGTTTCCATATTTCTCCCACTAAACTTAGTTTTTCCTCCTGAAAAGTTGGAAAGGAAGTCAGCCAAATATGATGCATCTGTAGAGACTGCCGGTATGATAATGATAATCATTACCAACATGACGATGAGAGATGCAAGGCTGTGTGTAATCCGATGATGTCAGCAGAATACAATGAAAAGCCGGGGTGGGGAGAGACAGATGTGCGCGCCCTGACCTGCAAAGCAAAGGGGCTGGGGCCAGGGCTATGGGCGGGCCCGGGGCACAGACTGGGGCCAGTGGCCATGAGGATCAAGGAGGAATCCAAAGGCCGAAGAGGAGGTTATCAGAGGGCGTTATCTGTGCCAACCATTTAAATGCTTCTTTAGACATTTCTGCAATCAGTCTGGAGCCAAGTTAGCTATTGACAAAGAAAAGGGGTTAGATGGAAGTTCTTCAGAAATTTCCTGAAGTTAAATGTGTTCTTATTTTATTTAAGAGGGACTAAAAGTGGAACTTTCATGTTGGTTTGTAGGTTTTTGACCCACATGCAGAATCACACAGAGATCCAATGAATTTTAACATTTTATTAATGAAAAGCAAACAAGAATCTTGTAGCAGGGTTTGCAGAAAGTCTGCTGTAACTTTCTGGTTGGACTGAGGGGAGAAGGCAGACTGATCAGGAACAAATAGTTATGACAACTGACGCCTGATTGATTTGGCTTTCTTGAGAGATGAAGAAGAGGTTGTTTGAATCTGTAGGTATTTGATTCAGCGGGCTTTGCTATTTTTACCCCAAAGTTCCAGGTGAGTGTGAGGGAGATATAAGAACAGTGGTACTTGCAAAAGACGTCATGTTGGAGAGAAGTCAGGCAGGTGATGAAGACTGAGAACTGAGAAAGATTAGACAGGACAGGCTTGATCAGAGAGACTAAAGAAACAGCATGAATCTTTAAATTACTAACAATAGACAGCTTAAGGTGAACTGCAGAGTGACTGAGCACTGGTTGGATTTCAAATGGACCAATAAATTTGGGAGAGAGAGTTTGTGATTAGCAGCCTATAAAGGAATGTCTTAAGTTGATATCCAAACCTTTTGTCCAGGTGAATACTGGGGAGCAGGAATTCTTCTCCTATCACCCAGATGTCATTTTGTTTCCACTGAAGACTTCCTCAGAAAGGACTGCACTCACCCCTAAATCAGAGGTATCAACTTCAAGAAAAAACTGTTTCTCTAGATCTGGCTGAATAAAATCAGAACATTGGCAAACCTTTTCTTAATCTCAGAAAAAAACCTTCAGCTTTAGGTTACCAAATGAAAGGTCTTTTGGAAGAGGTAAGGGCTAGAGAGTGGTTGAGCAGTTTGTAGCTGCTTGTGATTTGAGGGTGTAGGCCATAAAAAAAATGGCTTGAACCTTCTCTGGATCTGTCTTCACCTGCCTGCTCTGGAGTCCCAAAAAAAGATGAATGATGTGGCATGAAACTCACACTTCTCGGCTTTCACAAGGAACTGGTTCTCTAGAAGACATTGAAGAATTTGACTTACATGGATCTTATGTTCGGATAAGGTCCTTGAGAAATTCAGAAGTCATCAAGGTAAATTAATAAAAATTGATTTAAAAAAATCTCTAAGGGCGTCATTCACAAGGGACTGGAAAACTGCAGGTGCATTCATGAGATAGACATGACCAGATATTCAAAATGACCTAGGAGGGTCTTGAATGTAGTCTTCTATTCATCTTCTTGTCAGATTATGACCAGGTGGTAGGCATTTCGGAGAACAAACATGGTGAAGAAATGTGAGCCCTGACTCGGTTAAAAAAACAGCTGAGATATTTATTTTTCACAGTAATCTAGTTAAGGCCATCCTTTTTCCTCACAAAGAAAAACCCTGCTCCAACAGGTGAGGTAGAGGTACAGATAATTCCAACAGCTAGCGACTTACTTTTGTACTTCTTCATGCTCCTTTCTCAGGCTTTCACAGGTTCTACAGCCTATTGGAGGGGAGATGAGCTCCAGGAAGTAGCTCAATAGCACAGTCATGTGGGGTGAGGTGGGGGAGAGAGCCCAAGACTTGTAGAAAACCAGATGAAGTTCATACTCAGACAGAACTAGGGAGAGGTCTACTGCAGTTTCCTGTTCTTGAGAATTTAAGATTGGAGACATGGCCGACTGCAGACAGTTTGACAGATGGTGGTTACCCCATGACTGAACTCTATTGTCTTTCCAGTTCAGGTGAGGATTTTAAGGGTGAAACAAGAGTACCCTTAAAAAAAATGGGAGATTGGGGTGAAAAGAACGGGAAAAAAAAGAATTCTTTGATATAATTGCTTGAAACCAAAAGTTTTACTGGTTATGTTCGGTACGTGATTACATGCAGAGGACTTCCATCTTAAGACATGAAGGGGTTCAGGTAGGTCTAAAACAGGAAGAAATAATTGTTCAGGTAAATTGCTGTTTATATGGCTTTGTTCACCACGGGAATCCATTATACTAAAAGAGAGAAATGGTTGATTTAGTAGTAGAGAGGAGGGTAATTTCCCTACCACTGGGCCCTTCATTTTAGCTGCTTTGGGAAGGAAGAAATGAAGTGACCACCCTACAGGCAGATCCCAGTTTTCATCTTACATTGTTTTTCCTCAGGTGACAACCGGGTACCACCAAACTGCATCGGTTTGGGGAAAAGGAGGCTAGTCAGGGGTAAGTGGAAGATGAATCCAGCATAAAATAGGGCAATACAAGATAGTTGAGAATGGGCTGAAGGTTTGTCTTCCAGCAGGACAGGTACTCTGTCTACACACCATGGATTATAACTAAAGGATTTACATAAAATAAAATTTCTGTATAACAATTGCCAAATAAAAGGCCTGACCTAAATCCAGTTAGGAAACTGTGGAAGGATTTGGACATTGCCGTCACTCTGATCCCTCCCTCTGATTTAGGTAAGCAGTTTTGGAAAAACAAGGTGGCATTCCATTCTCTAGATGTCTAAAACTGTCTAAAGAAGGTACTAAAATGATTTGTACATCTAATTAGAGCAGAAAGGGGTTTTACCATTTGTCCCTGCAAAGAGGAATCCTTTTGTACCACCTGGACACGTCTTCGCAGAGACATACAGCTGATCATACATTACTAACCCAATCATGAGATCAAAGAGTCTCCTAATTATAATTATTGGATGAAAGCTGTTCATTTACAGAAAAAACATGTAACACACACTGCTGAAAACCTTCCTACTGTAAAGCAATACATAACACATGTTAAATAGAGCCTAGGTGGAAGTTCAACTGAAGAAAGTCATTGCTCTCCTTCATCCACCTGCGACACAGCCAATCAGCTTTAAACCACACTTCCACGAAAGCCAATCGGGATCCAAAGTTCATCTTAAAAGGCCTCCGATACGCACCTGTCTGCTCCTGTGCGCGGGTGGCGGATGCGCTGTGTGACTTCATTCAGATCACACCGTTTCAACCCACCGCCAGCCCCTCCTCCACCATCGTAGCTAAAGCTTCATCAGTGTCATTGTTGCACCCTAAGCATATTTTATTTTGATATATAAAATTTGTCCACTATATTATTGATTTGTTCAATGTGACTGTTATTGTTTTGGTTAATTTTGTTCTTTAGAACATCGCATCTAGTTGCTATTGTTTAGGCACATCTGATCTAGGCACTACGTCACTGTTAGTGGCGGGACTTGCAAGGAAGAAAAAGAAGAAGGCTAGAGTGTGATGGTTTTATCTGTATGTCCATGCCTGGCAGCTCCAGAGAAAACAATCGGAAAAGAAAGGAAAAAACGTGCAGCGTGGGGCAAATAAAGTTGACAAAAGCAAAGACGGAGTCCTTTCTGTTTCAGGAGTGCAACATCATTCCTTCCAGACTCTTACTACGCTCCATGTAGAGGTTTCTTCCCAACGGGGAGTTTTTCCTCTCCGCTGTCGCTCCATGCTTGTCATCATGGACAGGTTCTCTCAACCAGTGTTATCCAACTGGACTTCCATCTCCCAGGTCCCTGAGTGAAGCTCTAGGATCAGCCCACGCAGTCCACTGGATCTCCCCATAAAGCTCATCATACCATCTCGCTAACCAGCAGTCTACAGACTGATCAAGTTCATCTATCTCCACTCACCAGTTTCAGGCCTGGGGGGGGGAAACAGCCCTATTCTTTGCTCCTGTTCATGCATATCTATCAAATTAAATGCTATGTTTCCTGCCGAGGTCTGAGCGCCAAAGACAAAGTAATTGTATCAATAAATTTTCTTATAATTATCTTTTCTCTTCGTGTGAGTTTTTCAGATTGAATATGATTTATGTAGGAGCTTTTTACCTACCACCCCTTCAGCAAACGAATGTCATTAAGGACTTGAATGCTTTTAGTGGAACACCTGAAAACACAATCCAAACTATGGGGTGCATTTGTAAAGCTAGTATAGAGATTACCAGGCTTTTACTTTGGTAGATCACTTCCATTTTTCAGCAAGTTAATTTGCATATTCACTAAATATTTAGATAGCACCAAGGTGGCTAAATATTTAGTTTGTGAAATCAATATTTTATTTGGAGCTAAATATTTATTCAACAAAATAAATATTTAGTTTGGAGCTAAATAATATTTAAACAAAATATTTATTTAACAAAGTAAGGTTTTTCATAAATGAATGAATGAAAAAAAAATGACATAGAAAGAAATAACCCCCTTATTTTTCTTTTAAATAACCATAAATATCGCTCCTAATTTTTGACTGCTTAACTTTACAAACGGCACCCCATACAAAACTGTTTCACAGTCTTTTATTTCCTATACATATTAAAACAAAGGGATGATATTATCATTAGACATAGATATAATGTTTTCCTTTGATTTTTTTAAAATCTTCATAACAATTTTTTTGATTGTACACCAACCTTATTTTTTTACAACTTCTAAATTTAACTTTGGGCTTTATCTTTTAACCCAAATGCGAACATCAGAGATGGTGATCAGATCTCCTGTGAAGTTTTTAGATGATAGTGTAAAACTAATATAATATCAGGGACAAAAATTGGTCATAATAAATAAATATAAAAGCTGTGAAGAAGAAGTAAGGTTTAAAAGGTGTTGAGCCACAAACTTTTTTCTGAGGTGAGAGACACTTAGACTTTGCATAATTATATGCTCTTGCCTTGATTATCCATCCCTCTGACCCACTTCTGGGAATACTGGGTTATCTGGTGCCCTCTACTGTAGAAATGTGGAATTAATGCAGGGGGCCAAATGTTTAATTTAGGACTTGTAAAATGGGGTTTGTTTTACATTTTCATAAGAAGTTGTTACATTAGCTTGTCTTAATATGAGTTGTATATATTGTGGGGATTACATTGTTGTTTTGGAGCATAGAGCTCCTATGCAAGCAGACTGACTGTGGGGATCCAGAGATCCTATTGCAACAAGAAAAAGAAAAATAGATCATAATAGCAAGTGATTTCCCTTGAGGAAAGTTATTTGGGAATGATGGGATGATAAATAATATAAACTAAACATGTGAACTAAGAGTGCAGGCCTTCTTTGGGGAGTTGGAATCAGAGGTCTTCCTACGTTTGCAGCTTTAGGTTTTGAGCAAAGGAGAGAACTAACAGAGCAGGGGAAGAAAAGAAGTGTTGGGAAGATAAGTTATCGGAAATAAACTAAGTGTGTATTAGAGTGTGGTTCTGCTTAACTGGTGACATATGCAACAGGGAGAAACATTTAGGAAATGTTTTTCATTTGAAGAAAGAAGCCATGTGAGCATGTGTGCAGATTGTTTGTGGGCCCGAGAGGTGCGATCATCCAAAAAAACAACTAAAAAAAGGACTGCGGTGATTGTGAGCAGAGCCCTAAAACCTTTTATTAGTTTAAGAGTTCAATGATTGGTTTTTTCTTCTTTTTAAAAAGAGTTCACTTAAAAGAAGTTAGTTAAAAATAAGCTAAAAGGTAAAAAAAAGATTTAAAAAATGCAGGGTAGTCAGGAACAGCAGAGTCAGTGGACAGTCTGTAAAAAGGGGTGTACTCTTAGCCGGCGCTAATGGAGCATACAGTCCTCTCTCCAACACGCCGGGCCGCTGTCGCGCTCTCTCTCTCCAACACGCCGGGCCGCTGTCGCTCTCTCTCTCTCCAACACGCCGGGCCGCTGTCGCTCTCTCTCTCTCCAACACGCCGGGCCGCTGTCGCTCTCTCTCTCTCCAACACGCCGCGCGGTCTTCTCTCTGTCTGCAGGTCCTTTCCCCCGTGCTTTGTCCAGCTTTCTTCTCCCTCTTCAACTGCGCAGCTGCCTTTTATTACAAACGCCACCGTCTGTATGCTGCTCAGCTGATTGAGAGCACCTGTGCTGCCGCCACGGGGTCTCCGGGTGCATGTGGCAACGTCACCTCCAAACCAAAACAAAATAAGAAGAAAACATGCAACACAGAAAACCAAAACTAAATCCAACAAGAAAAACAAACAACTTCAAATCAGAAAAACGACATAAAACCCAACTTCAAAATAAAACGAAACAGCCACATTACCACATGTTGGTTTTGGATCCAAAAAGTGGATCCAAAGTCAACCCCTTTGGACTGGTCTAAATGGGGTCCTAAGGAACTCAGCCCAGCTCAGACAGGCCTACAGCTGCTATCACTGCTGCTGCTGCTGTAAAGAACTGGTTTCCTGGCTACATTCCTCACCCTCTGACCTTGTTGTTCTATTGCTAGACAGACAAGGGTAAATCTTAGACCCAGGAATTTTTTTGTTAGCTTTGGGTTATACACTGCTCCATTGTTGACAATGTCTGCCAAGAAAAAAACTGTAAGCCAACTTGATTTACACTGATAGTCTTGTATTAATTATTCTTACTGCTCTAGAATCACATTACATGTTATCTAATGTTGCTTCCATTTTACACAATCTACTTGACATTTACAAGCTATGACAGTTTACATCATTTTTGGCTTTTAAACTACATGCTCGGGTCTATTAGTATGCAACCAACTCAAAAGATATCTCTTGGAAGCTCATTAAGAGATGTGTTCTAATTTGAAGAAGAAGAAAAAAAATACCTTACTATGAGTAAAAGACATGCAGCCTCTTTGAATCATCAGTCAAATACTTTGTTTTTTTATCGTTGTTCAGGATTCTTTAAATATTTTTTTGAAGAACAAAAAAAGGAAGGTGAAAAAAGCTTTGATCAGTTAATAGTATGTCATTAAAAAGGAATGTTGCATCCGAGTCGATCATTGCCCCTGACTGCAGGGAAGTGTTAGGCAACCAACCAAGGGTCAGTGTCATGGCACTTTTTTAATATGTCCCTGCTCCACACACCTTGAGTATCAAATAATTTGATGAGTAGTGAATTGACTCTCTATAAATAAACTTAATTTAATTGAATCTTCAAGTTGTAGGATACTGGCTCAAAGACTGGAGTTGCGAATCCCTGCTCTAGGGATTTTAGAAGCCCTTTCTGCATCAAAAATACTCAAATTAAATATATCTAGTATATCTCCACTGTTATTCAATAAAATTCAATCCAGTTTATTTACATAGTGCAATTGAAAACACTTGTTATCTCAAGGCCGTGACGGTATAGTCAGATTGGTTAAAATTTTTTTGTTCAGGAAAACCAGTTGATTGCAGTTGAGTCATTGATTAGCAGGACATGATCCTCCCGGATGAGCTTGAAGCGATGCTATTTGCTTACATTTTTTTTTTTTTTTAGCAGTCCCTCACATCAAGCATGCATGTAGCAACAGTGGAGAGGAAAGCCTACCCTAAACTAACCCTTTTAACAAGAAGTAACCTCTAGCAGAACCAGTCTCAGTGTGAGCGGCTATCTGTTGAGGCTGTATGAAGTTCAAGGAGACAGAAACAGACATACAAAAAGAAGCAGAGAAACAAAGATTAACTGTGAACCAACTCCACAAGTCACCTCGTCCAGGAAAGACATAGCCAGACAGACGAGTTCTGAGACAATTCTCATGTTAGTGGATGGAAAAGAGCACAACATAAATTTAGAGGTTGAACCAACAAATATTGCAGAATGAGGAAAAGTTGTCCATATGTCCTTCAGCAACCTAAACTTAGGGTAGCAGCATAAATATAGAAAATTAATCCAGATAGCCTGTTTTGGATGAGGTATGAGAACAGTCGAGCCAAGGAGAGATCTCTGTCTAGGCTGAATTCTCCCCTATTAGATCAGGCTTAACCTTCATGATAACCTATGGTTTTGATTTAGTTATTTAGTTCTTGCTTTACTCAGTTATTCTTCAGGTTGCCTTAATTATTCTTTTTGCTTCTTCCATGTATTTTCTGATTCATTTCTCTCGTGTTTTTAGTTTGTCAGTCATTCTTTCTGTATTTTTGACAAGGGTTATGTTGGTGTCATTTTTGCCTGTTAATTTCGGCATAAACTCATTTCTTCTTTTAACTAGATTAATAAGTAGATTTTGCTCCCGTGTGTTTTCCTCATTACCTCTTGTTCTACTCTACATGAACTCTTATTTTAGTCTTAACTGGATCATCCATCATATTTTCCTGTCTTTATGCCCAAATTTTGTTATATTTACTATCTTTCAATAAAATATAATCTTCCCATCATGTGGTTTTGTAGCATCTATCTGTGCTTTAGTCTTTAACTGCAACAATATTACAAGAGTTTTGTGTTGTTTGAAGGTCAAGTTTAAACATTTGTCTCAGCTGGGCCCACCGATTGGCTCATTTCACTTAAAAGGTCCAGGTTCGACATATCCACTTTTCATGCTAAAGTTGAAACTTTGAAAGATTGGAATGCAAATCGCAACTGATTTAAACTGCAGTGTGCCTTTGATCAACTGTTTAAACATTGTTTCATGGCAAAAGAAAATGTCTAGGTAATTAATTTAAATAAAAATTGTTTATTTTTTGTGTTAAGACATTTCTGTGATTATTGAATATATGTTTAAATCTCCATCCCATAGAAAGACCCAATGACTATTGACAGTAGAGACCATGGTGAATTTCACTCTAACCAGGGTTACAGGGTGCATT